GCTAATTTTTCATTTTTTGTAGAAACGGGGTCTTACTATGTTGTCCAGTTTGGTCTCAAACTCCTGGACTCCTGCGATCCTCCCACTTCAGCCTCCCAAAATCTGGGATTACAGGCGTAAGCCACTGTGCCCGGCTGGGTTTTCCTTTTTTGTGCTATAAAAACACTTAAAGAATTTTTAAACAACCTGGTGAAAGTGAATGCCCTTTTCTTATCCCCATCCCACCCCACCCTTGGGGCTAACCATTCTTAACAGCTGGTACACATCCTTTCAGATATGTAGTGCAAACTTGTTTTTTTTTTTTTTGAGACAGTTTTGCTCTTGTTGCCCAGGCTGGAGTGCAGTGGCGCGATCTCGGCTGACCGCAACCTCCGCCTCCAGGGTTCAAGCAATTCTCCCGCCTCAGCCTCCCAAGTAGCTGGGATTACAGGCATGCACTACCACGCCCAGCTAATTTAGTATTTTTAGTAGAGATGGGGTTTCACCGTGTTAGCCAAGATGGTCTCAATCTTCCGACCTCATGATCTGCCTGCCTTGGCCTCCCAAAGTGCTAGGGTTACAGGTGTGAGCCACCACACCTGGCCCAAACATATTCAAAAAAAAAAAAACCACAGGACCATACTGTGTATATTATTCTGCAAGCTGCTTTTTCCACTTAATATATTGTGGACATCTTTTCGTGTCAATACAGGAAGCTCTGATTGCCCTTTTATTTTTTATTTATTTATTTTTTTTGAGATGGAGTTTCACTCTTAATCTCCCAGGCTGGAGAGCAATGGCATGATCTTGGCTCGCTGCAACCTCCACCTTCTGAGTTCATGCAAATCTCCTGCCTCAGCCTCCCAAGTAGTTGGAATTACAGGCACCTGCCACCATGACGGGCTAATTTTCTGTATTTTTAGTAAAGATGGGGTTTTACTATGTTGGCCAGGCTGGTCTTGAACTCTGACCTCAAGTGATCCACCCACCTCAGTCTCCCAAAGTGCTGCGATTACAGGCGTGAGCCACTGCGGCCAGCCCTGATTGCCCTTTTTAACAACAGCATGGTTTTCTCATCTATCTATTCAGTCCCCTGATGCTGGACACTTAGGTTGTCTCCAATTTGTCTGCCATTATAAATAATCCTGCAGAGAATCTGGGTGGCCTTGTCCAATTATTTCCTTTGGGAAAATTCTGGAAGTGGAATATCTGGACCAAAGGGCCCGCCCTGTGTGTGGAGATGGCCTGGGTTCTGCCTCCCGTCAGTGGTACATCGTCAGGGAAGGCCATGCGCTGCCTTCATCTCATGCCACCGTGGGCTACTTGACCTCTCCCTCCCAAAACCAGACATCACCATGGGCAACTTGAGGTTACTCCCCATCAATCTCGATCACTAGTGGTCCTTATTCTTCTTCCCTGCCCTCTACATGACAAGAAAACATGCCAAAAACCTTTCTCTATGTTCCCACCCCAACGCATCAGATATAATGAACAGGAGAACTTGGAGCTGTAAGCCTACAACAATGAGGCTTTAAGTTACTGAGATCAGGGCTGTTGGTCCTCACCACTGCTGAGACAGAGCCTTGCTTACCCGAAACATATCTCCATTGACTGTGGTCCCCATGTCCTCAGAACCAGCTGGAAAGAGAACAAGGAGATAGCATTACTCACTGTTTAGCTTATAGCAAGCAGGAAATGGTCCTACATTAGCCCCTCAACTCAAACTCTGTGTACACTCATGTATATATTGACCCACATATAGCAGACATAACGGATATATATATAACTTAGGCTCAATCCCATCCCTGACTGTTTACAAAGCCTCTCACAGCCATTAGCACATTTTATTTTCACCACAGCCCTGCAATGAAATTGTTGTCAACCCATTTTACAGATACTCAAGCTGAGGCTCAGACAGGCCATGCGATTGCTCAAAATCACCCAGCCAGTAATAGCTCCTTACCTACCCGAAATCACCGACCCCTGGCCATGGCTGGGAATGGCCAGATTACCTGTGGAGCCTGTGCTGGTGAGTAGGCTGAGCTGCTGTAAGCTCAGGGTGGGGGCTATACTGGATAAGGAAAAAGAGGGGCCTACGTGTCTCTGCCTGTCCCTGAGGTGCCTTAAGCAACTGCTCTTCCTGGGTGAGCAGGAGTTGCAGTTCCCACCAGACAGCACCCGGCACATTTTTTCTCTTTGTGACCTTCCCAGAAGGAATGAAGTTTGCCCTCAGCAGTGACTCCTCCCTGTCCCTTTCCTTGACATCTGATTAGTCACCAATTCCTGGGGCTTCGGCTACCACAGTGACATTCACAGCTGCCCTCCACTCTCTCCCGCAGCTCAGCCCCAGGCCCGGCCCTCAGCATCTTGCACCTGCACAACTGCTCTGCCTGCTAAATAGGGGCAAACAGCTGGGAAGACACAACTGTGTCTCTTTCTCTTCTCCTGTGTCTTTCCCAGAGACCTGCACGCACTTGTGCCTTTGTAGGTGCGCAATCATTATCTGTTGAATAAACAAGTAAATAAATGCATGAAAGAAAGACAACGAATGCACGGCTTTTGCCCATTCACAGGCCCCCTTGACTCCAGCCTCTCCCATCCCTCTTTCAAACCAACTGCCAGGGCTGACAGTCCGTAAAACATGCACTTACCTGTGCCTCTCCTCTGACTCAAAATGTCATGAAAACAAACTCCAAAGAAATCCACTTCCCATGGACCACAGTGGCCTGTAGCGCCTGCTCCTGCCTTGGGGACTTTGCAGGTGCTGTTCCCTCTGCCTGGAAGGCTGCTCCCTCACTCCCTTCAGCTTCTGCTCAAATGCTGCCTAATTAAAGGCCTCCCTGACCACACCCCCATCCACCCCTTGGGCACCCCTTCCTATTCCTCCAGCAGTATTAAGCGCACTTACTACAGCCTGCTGTTTATTTGTCTATGTGTTTATTATCTGTCTTCCCCCCTCGAACAGACCCTCCATGAGGGTGTGGACTTGCTTTCATCCATGATGGGGCCCACCACCTGCAACAGTCCCTGGCACATGACAGAGACTCAACAAATATTTGCCAGATGAATACATCTAACCTGGAACATGAGGATCTCTACAATCTGGCCCTGCCCTTTCCTGGCTCACTTCCCACCAGCCCATCCCACAAACCCTAAATTCTGGTTTCCTCCTTCCCAAACACACCACCCTCATCTCCATGCTTTCGTCCTGCTTCCCTCTCTAAAGAACGCTTTTTTGGATCCATTTATTCTCCAAGGTGCAGCTCATAAGTCACCTCCTCTGGGAAGCCCTCTTCTGCTTCCTCTACTTCCCGAGGCACTTATGGTAGGTCTCACTTTTGGGGTATTCCAGGATATCATACAGTATCCCCCACCCTCTTGTGCAATTACTTATGATCCCCAGGGTCCGTGTGTACCCCGTTACCCGGTTCTGTGTCCTACTCAGCTCCTCAGGGTTCCAGCACAGAAGGGGTGAGCAGTGACTGTTGGCTAAATGCAAATTGAATTGTTCTTTTGAGGCCTGCTGTTATCTGCAAGGCTCTCAGAAACTCCCGTGCCTCCTAGCAAAAAGCCATGGAGGCCACATGAGGTTATGAGGCAGATAGTCAAACAGCCCTTCACCAGCCAGAGAGGGCTGTGAGCAGCGACAGTGTGTTTGGCCTGGGGACTGAAGGGAAGGACACTTAATCCCATGGAAATAATCCCTGGGTGACATAAATCATAATTGACTTTACTTTCAGAGTCAAACAGTGATTGATTCCAACCAACTCTGTCAGCTGTCACCCCCACTCCTTCAGATAAGGCTTCTCCTGCATGGGTGTCCTGGCCCCTAAATCACAGTGGGACCAATAGGGTTTCAGTGGCAGCATCTTCCGCAAAGGGGCTTCTTCTGCAGGGCCGTCTCCTCTAGCAGGGCCTCACGTTACCGGGGTCTGTCTATTTCCTGGGATGCCGGTCAGTACACTTGGCCTTCTCAAGAAATTGCACCACTCCACTCCGCCCTGACCAACCCCAGTCTCAGACCCCACATCTGCACGCAGCTGCCCGGAGTCTACCCTGACCGACAGAAAAAGTCTCTGCCCAGCCTCAGCCTCCAGAGTGTTCCTCTGGAGAAGCCGTTTCGGCCTCCTCGGGAGTCCACACACACCCACACAGCGTTCCAAGTACCTGTTTCCACAGGGCTCTCCACCCGCCCACTGCACATCTATCACCGGGAGTCCACACTCACAGGCCGGCAGAACAGGACTGAGGCAGAGACACATCCCGGGGATAAACCCCTGGGTGTTTGCTTCCCTCAGCTGCCTGGCCCATTTTGGAACAAGGGCAGAGAGGGTCCAGAACATTCCTGTGAGCTTACTGAGGCCCAGCGGGGGAAATGGGCTTGCCCAGAACTGACAGGCAAGTCAGAGCCAGGCCTGGTGCTCAGAAAACTGGGTGTGAAAATGGAAACCTACCCAAGGCTGATGAATGGAAACAGTGTCCATCATCCAGATCACCCAGGGCCACAGGCCCCGCCAGAGAGGAGGGGCTCCCTGCAGCTCCAGCACAGGTCTACAGCAGATCCCTCTTTCCCCAGGGGCACCTGAGCCCAGTAGCAGCACAGAGACTGCTAATCTGAGGACCCCAACATCCAAGAGAAGGTGCCTCAGAGGTACTGACTGGTGGCTGCTGCTAGAGCCAGTTTTTGCTCAACTCCCAGCAGGCCAGGGCGCTTTTTCTCTGCCCCATCCAGGCTCCTGGCACACATCCCTGGTCAGGGGAAGATTACCTGTTCAGCACTGCGTAGGCTGAGAAGGTCAGATCAATTCTAGTCCATCTGGCCACCCACTGAGCCACCATCCCTCAACACCTCTCTGTTCCCCGACCTGACTAAGGAGGGCAGCTGAGGCTTTGCAGAGTCAGCAGGTATGTGCCTGGGAGACCCTCAGAAGGCTGTGTCCCCACCAGCTCCCTGGAAGAAGCAAGCATGTCTGTTTCTCTCCCTGTCACCTCGGGTCTGAGGCCAATCTGTGCCCCATCTCTGCCAAGGACAGAACTTCCCATCCAGGCTCTAAGCCCCCGGAGCCCCACCGTCCTGGGAGAGGCCACAAACTGCTCAGCTGCCAGAGGCGTCTGGCTGCCCTCGGCCTGAATCCCATCTTCTCTCTCCTGAGGTTCTGGCAATGGCTCCCCTCAGCAGGACCTCCCCACAAGGCCTCCCTCCTCTTCCCTGCACCCCTCCCCCAACAGGCCCCAGGGAGCCAGACTGAAGAAAAGGGTGGTCTCACAGAGGTGTGGACCAATGAATACTAGTGCATTAACTGGGGCAGGCATTTCTCAGGAATTCCCTGGGACAGGGCAGGGAAGCCCTCCATTGCTGTCTCAGACAGGTGGCAAAAGACCCAGTGCTTCTCACCCCACATCCTATCTCCTCCCAAGGAGGTGACTGCTACACATATTTTTTTTAAAGACAGGGTCTCACTGTTGCCCAGGCTAGAGTGCAGTGGCATGATCACAGCACACTGCAACCTACCTACACCTCACGGACTCAAGCGATGCTCCTGTCTCAGCCTTCCCGAGTAGCTGGAACTACAACTACAGCTACATGTCACCACGCCTGGCTAATTTTCGTATGTTTTGTAGAGATGGGGTTTCACCATGTTGCCCAGGCTCCACAGCATTTGAAAGAGAATGGAGCCCAGAGTTGGGAGGTGTGGGATCAAGCCCTAGATCGGTCACTCCTGGCTGTGTGACTCTGGGCAAGATACTCAGATTCTCTGGGCCACCAGTTTCTTGCATGTTACAAAAGCCTGGTTACATTTCTCATATCAAGGAGATACAGAGATGCTTCAAACTCCTCAGCCACAGGAACTGTCTTATTCATTTCTGTATCCCTAGTGTCCTGGTACACAGTAGGTGCTCAGCAAATGTTGAATGAATACAAACATGACTGTGAAGAGCCTTGTAAACATCATTAACCAAAATATATCTATATGTATATATGTCAGCACTATTACAACAGGCCTATAAACCTCTCCAAAATGACATTAACAGGAAGTAAAACCTGTTTTGGATGCACCCATGAAGGTAATATCTACTTTTTGTTTGTTTGTTTCTTGAGACGGAGTCTCGCTCTATCACCCAGGCTGGAGTGCAGTGGTGCGATCTCAGCTCACTGCAAGCTCCGCCTCCC